CCCCAAAACCCCAAAACCCCAAAACCCCAAAACCCCTTAAATATAAAAAAATATTGAATTAATCATCATCAAGGTTCAAAAATTGTTGGTTTGGACCTTTATCAGCATAATCTCTGTTCATGTCCTCCGGATATGCCCCAGTGAAGGAGTTATTTAAGTAGTTAGGGCCTGGCAATCTAGTGTCAATATCCTCGTCTTCACTGAAATAGTTCTTTTTATCAATAGTCTTTGTACCGTTTGTGACAAATAATTCATCATCAGTGTCATCATCTATAAAATTAGGGTTGATAAGAAAGTAGCTTACCTGACATGGTAGAGTTAAAGTCCTCACAATCAGCATTGAATAGGTCATTATCGCTTTCTCCGAGCTCACTCATCTCTTTATTATCCTCTCCAGCAGGCTCATTGTTTAGTCTATTTTTGAGCATCATAACTTGGTAATCTCTCTCACTTAGTAAGTAGTCGTAATTGGATTCCATCGAGAGCCATGGATGTTCTAGCATTTCTTTGGCAGTAGCTCTCTTTTCAGGGTACCATTCAAGCATTGGAAGAAGGAAGTCTGCCAATGCTTCTGCTTCGTTTTCAACAAACCTATATTTCTCCATTAGGACCTTCTTTAATGGCCAGTGCTGGAGTCCTCTAATTTTGAGTAGATGCCCAGTTTTGTCGAAGAATCTTTTCGAAAGTCTTCCTGAGAAAGCAATGTTTTTAGGCATTTTTCCTAAAATCTCCATCATTTGGGCTAAATGGTCATCATCTTTATCAAAATTATGCCCTTTCCTGGGTTCGAATAGGAAGTCACCAGTTATAATTTCAAAGATCATACAGGCGAAGCTCCATATATCAGCAGAAGTTCCATAGGTCAACCCGATGATGGTTTCAGGAGATCTATACTGCCTTGTTTGAATCTCTGATGAGAAATGGTGGTGGGTCCAGCACCCATTACCAAGATCACAGATCTTGAGCCTTACTCTTTCATCGATCTTAGGGCCCTTTTTATCAGATTTTTCCTTTTCTTCCTCTTCACCTTCATCTTTGTCTTTACTGTCTTGAATAACCTGAGCTTTGTCATCTTCCGTTTGCTCTTTTTCTTTTGCAAGTTGGGCATTTTGCTTTGAAGCAGCTACAAATTCCTCAAATCTCTTCGTGTTGACTTCGAGGAGCTCAGTTTGATGCTTAGCTCGGGCCTTCTTTTTCTTGTTCTTGTTGAACTCAGAATATCCAGGAATAATCTCTGCATAAGTTGTTACTTCAAACCCTTCTCAGTTGTCATATTGCAATGGCTTTGTAAGGTCTATTGGCTTCAGTTCTACAGGTGCATCTGGGATCGAGGAAGCAACAACAGGCTTCTCACCAGTAATAATGTTCTTAAAAGCATTTCCTAGCGCTAATTGAGCGATATTTCTATCTTTCTTCAAGTGCTTTTGACTGTTTTTCCCATGTTTCAGTCGATTTTCCCGAGCGATCTGATCGACCTCTTCCTCTGTAAGACAGATCAGAACATTTTCTGGTTTCAAATCTGTGTGAATGATGTTACAAAGTCTGTGTAAGTAATCCAATCCGATCAGTCATTGTCTTGCCATTGATCTTACTAATGGGATAGGTACTCCTTTATAGTCATATTTCTTGATAACCTCGAGTAAGTTTACACCCATGATCTCAAAGACCATCACGAAATGCTTGCCATTAGGTCCGTAGTGAAGGAAGGAGTTCAACAACTGGACACAATAACAGTCACTATTATTTGTACTCTTCTTCTCTTCCTCATTAAGCTTTCTGTAATAATGGTTTAATGAATCCTGCCAAACCTCAGTCTTCCACTTTTTGGATACTCAGTCAAGAATTTCTACCTCATCATAGGCTGCTTCGAGATAATTCTGGGAACTCTTTTGAACTTTCAATGCTACAAAAGTATCGAACTTCAAGTCTTTGGTAAGCCAGACTGTGGAGAAATGTCCCCAGCCAAGCTTTTGGATGACAATGTATCTGTCCAAAAAGACCTCTCCCACATGTACTGGATGGTAACCACCAATGCGGTAGTCTGGGAGACCCTCATCTTCACTAGAATCGCTGTCATTGAGCATCTCTTGGTCAATGATATCTCAAAGAGGAGTAAATGGAGCTTTTTCTTCGTCTTCTCTATAACTCCGCTTTACAGTAGGTTTCTGTTGAGGTGTCTTTGGATGAACTTTCTTCTTTTCTTCCTTCAGACTTCCTTTACTTTTACTTGGGCTTTGTTCTTCTCCCTTCATATGTAAAAACCTTTTTAACTGGTCAATAGCGTTTTCGTTCTCTTCATCTTCACCTTCTCCATAGGGTGGGTAGTCAGAGTCATCGTCAAGGACGATCTCTCCTTCAGCTAGGTCTGCAAAGTAATCGTCTTTAGAGGGGTACCCATAATTGTCATCATCATCTTCATCCTCACCTTCGCTCTCATCCATGTACATATAATTATTCTTCTTAGGTGGGGTCATATCATCCTTATGTCCCTTGCTCTCCTTCTCTTTGGAATTAGTTTTAGATTTACTATTCTCTGGATCTCTGGCTAGCTCGATTGCTTGAGCTAAAGCTTCAGCTCCTTCGAGTAAATTCGAATAGTCTGTTGATTCCATATTTGTTTCCTCTTCTTTACCATAGATCATCTGTCTTGTCTTCTTATGATCTATAAGAACAATATTAGAGAGAACTATTAGCCATGTTAGAGAGCTTACCTTCTTCACTATCATTAGAAGTATCCGAAGAGTTACTTTTAGACTCCATTTTCGGTCAATAAATTTAAAATTTCAGCTTGAATTAAGATTTGAGGGGTTTTGGGGTTTTGGGGTTTTGGGGTTTTGGGG